GTGTTGGTCTAGGATGAATATTGCGCTGTGTTGTTGTAAACTGGATGATTTTTTGCTTGTGAGATAAACTCCATCCCCCCCTCCCCACCCTACCCTGTAATACTTATGGAAATTTTAATTGGTTCTGTTTGGGTTCTTTGTTTTATTACCTTACATTACCTTATTTTAAACAAAAATAGGATTTTTATTTTTTATGAATTTTTAATAAAATTAAGCTATACTGCATTGTGTTAGCCAAGTTACTGTGTTGTGTGTACGCTTCTGTGGTCTAAACATTCATACTTCATTTTGTAATAAAAGATGTCATTAATATTGGATTTAACTTTCCTTGAACTGACTGTGTTATCTGATCTTAAAGCACACCCTGGTTATGGATTCACTGAATACACACATCTAAGGAGTTTCTTGTCAGAGTAGAAGTATGATAAACTGAGAACAATACAATGTTACTGTTTAGTGAAAAGGTGAGTCAGTACGCCTTGGATCTCTTGAAAATATTTGTGATATCCTGTTATACTGAAGTGCATGATGCACTTCATTCTCTGCCTTTTTCCAGTCACCATTGAATCTTTAATGCATACTGTGGTCTCAGTAAAAAAACTGAATACAAAACTGAGAACTTGTTTGTAAATGTTTTTGATTTGTGCTGTTTAAAAATGGGTCATAAAAGACACTGTTTCTGAAAGCATCTAGAGGCGGGTTCAGTTTCAGCAGATGGATGGGTGAGCTTGCTTCTGAGTGATATGAGTCTGTCACTTCACCTGAGGTTGATGGGATTCTGTGTTCTTACAACATTTTAGGATTGTTTTAAGGAAGTGATAGATTAAAAGGATGTTTTTTCTTACAGTATTTTGTTTGCAAAGGAAAACTAACTGGTTAGCAATATTCTCTTCAATGTTTGCTGTGCTATGAAGGAATATTTTGATACTTTAACTGATTTATTTCCCAGAATATGGAAAACTGGGGGAAAGAAGTGTATGCACTTCCTGGACATGCTAAGTTCACCAAAACTAATGCTTTACTGTCTTTGGAGTGGAGTTGCTTGAAGGCCGTAAAGTGGACATTTAAAGAAATTCAGAGTAACTATCCACTTCACATTCAGGAAGGGTGTATGGTGCATTTTGTATATGATTTTGAAAGCAAACCTGCTTGAGATCTGGGTCATAATGATTAGAAGTTGGAAGAGGAGACCTCTGAGTAGGGAAATGTCAGTGTAAGACCCAGTAATGCCTTAATGTGTTATTGTCCCTACTGTGCCCTAATGTTTAAGTTTCTGAACTAAAAAAAATTAGTCTGTAGCCCTGTCTTAAGCTCCTAAAAAAAATTCCCTGTTTAGTTCATTGCAGGGCTGCTGGGAGTGGAATTCAGAAAAGGCTTTGTGCTTCTCAGAGTGGGGAGGAGGCTTGCACTAACCAGAAGGAAATACCGCAGAACGAGCCATACATGTTAAACTGTGCCCCTCTTTGGCCTTTATACAAGAACAAAACTCACAAAACTCAATTCTTCTGTTTTTACATGCCAAATATTATGCTTACACCATGAATGAAGATACCCACGAGCCAGTTTCAGAAGTAGAAGCACGTGTGGTGAGGTCTGTGTAAGCCAGTGTGGGTTTGGCAGCTGTGTTGGCATATACCAGCGGTACTGCAGACGCAAGGTTTCCTGTGTTAGGAACTCAGCTCTCTTGTGCCATATGAAAATAGTGCAGGGCATACACAGGCCAGTATTTTCCCTTGCTTGATCCCAGTTTCACCCAGTCTGAAAGTGGCCTTAGGAACTAATGTATTTCAAGTGTCACTGACGTAGGTGGTAGACACAGCCTTGTGTTGGGTCGCATCGTCTGGTTGAGGGAGCCCATATGGGTGTGCGCTGAGACAGAGAAAGGTCCTGCAGAAACGTGAGCCAGTACTGAGCAAAACAACCAATTTCTGTATCTTGCCTCAGGATTTTAAGGTTTTGACTCAGTGCTGCACCTTAGCAGGTATGCTCTAGCTTTTGGATTTTGGGCTTTTGGATACCAGCTGCTCATCATATGAAAATTTTCTATGCATTAGAAACTTCTTGGCTTTGCTAAGCACTAGAGCTCTCCATTCTGCTTTCAGTCATGGACTGAATTGTCCTTTTTTGGAATAAAACCTGTTTATTTTTTTTAAAATCAAATGACTGCTAATTATCCTGTTATTGCATACATAGAATTTCTGTCCCTTGCGTGATCAGAAGTCAGACACAAATCTTATTCTTTGTATTTAATTTCATGTTTTCAGTCAGTGTCAGGTATAGTTTGGGTGGACCTGCTGCAGAAGAAATCTTATTGTGCCCAACTTGTGATTTCTTATTGAAATGGCAGGAAGACAGGTGAGAAACTGAGCCTGTCACACTGGACTCAGTTCTGGTGTAATGTGAAGCCAAACTATAGTTGTTTGAAAAATGCATTTTTTAAATTTTACGTGCTGCGAAGCTTTCAATTACTTGAGAAGTTAATTGCAGGGTTTAAAAAAATGAGGCATTTGGATTTAGTTTTCTGAATCTTTGGAAGAGCTAGGCCTCAGCAGAGCAGAAATTGTGGTTCAGTATTGACACAAAGATACCGATATAGACATTCATAAATTTTTATTGTGCAATAAACCAGATGGCAAGAAAACAATGTGTTTCAGAGTTCTTTTAAGAATACAATTTTGAGTATTCAATTTTATTTAGAATTGCAGTTTGGCTTTTTGTTCCTCAGAGTGGATGTTTCACTTGTGAGATTTGGTTACGCAAGGCACATTGTATTCTTCCAGTCTGTTTTATGCTTAAAATGTAACATGACATGATTGTTAAAAACTGTAATAAAATATTGGAACAGCCTAAGGAATTCTCTTTTGCTAACTGGTTTTCTGGAATGGTAACTGTTCCAGAAAAAAAAAAATCAAATATACAGCTAATTACAGAAAAGCTGTGGCTAGCATGCTGCTCTCTCTCTTTTCCCATGACCTTCTAATTTTACAATTTTTGTGTGTGTGTCTGACCAATTAAAATATGACGGCAGAGCAAAATAACATAGTCCAAATGCCCAGCAGCTGGGATATAGATGTAATAATCCATGTCCTTGAATCATAGGAAATAGGGGACAAGTTGCAGATAATTTAGTCTCTCTACTTCTGCTATGCACAGCTTTTGCTCTAAGTACGTCTGTTAAATTTACACCTCATTTAATACATTGATGTATTACTAAAATTATAGTGGTGTTTCGTTTTCTCAGTTTGTCTTTTCTTTTACAGAAGTAAAATTGATCCTGCCTGGGTCAGAAAGAAGAACTAGATTACCTCTTAAGAGACAGACAGTTCTGTGATTTCACAGTTTTACTGATCTTTCTGTACCACATTTTGCCATTGGATGATAGTGTTTTGCTCTGTGTGGTGTTTTATATAGATATCTCTTTCCATGTATTAGAAAGTAAAAGTGCTTTTCAGATTTTGAGAAAGTAGTTCAGATATTTCTCCTGTCACACGAATCTTTTGAATCTTTTCTCTCCCTTCACCCTTCCCGGTAGCTCATGCATATCAGAACTCTTTGGGCGTGAGAAATTGGTTCATATGTCTGTTCTTATTCTGTAAAAGAATGAACTAAGGAGCTGTGATTTAGAGCTCATAAAGGGCTCAACACTCTGACTGCATTCCCCTTTGTTTTATTGTTAAGTAGTGTGAAAGGGGGAGGGAAGACAACTAGTTCTTTTCTTCTGAGAGTACAAAAATTTTGGACTCACTTTTTTGTCTTGTTCTACCACTGTATGCTTATTTGAGGTCAGAAATCTTCTAAGAATGGACAGGACTCATGTATGAGGGCAGAATTTGCCAACAGAGATAAATAAAATCATTAATAGCAGTGCTGTTATGGGATAAGGTACCTATTCTTTTTCTGTGTCAAAATTCATGAAGCCTCAGAAAATCTTCCGAGGCTGCTGTGAAAAGTGGCAGAATTAGGCATTGGGATGATTTTCTAGGTATCCTGATTTAAGATGTTGTATAGTTCCAAATGTTTTGAAACAGCATCAATTATTCTTTTTTATTATTCTTAAAAATTATTAATAAACAGTATAGTGTGAACATGCCGTCCTCAATGGTTAGCACCATTGGGGAGCATGCTGTTTGCTCTGTGACTTGATAAGCAGTGTTCTGCCACTGCACTTTTTCTTCATTATTGTATGGACAACTTTTGTCCAAGTTGTTTTAAGCTTCTCCTAAAGTTCATGTGAACATTTGATAAGTGACTGATGCAGTGTGGGTGTATCAGAATGCCTAAAGACAGCTAGGAGAGTTCTGCTTCAGAGATGCCATAGATCTTTAATACTATATGTTGATGAAAAGATCAAAGATATATGTTTAATTGGTTTCAAACCTAAGTAAAACTGAAACTGAAATATAAGCATTTAAGTATCTGTTCTAGAGCATAGTGCTGCTTGACATGGAATATTTTCAGATGTAAATGCTGCGTTCCCTGTGATTTCATTGGTAAGTGTGGTTGCTCAGTATTTCACAGGGTGAATTCAAACAGAGGAACAAGCTCAATTATCTGAAAGTTTTCTTGTAAATTGTTTTTGAGCAGTTTAGCCAAATTGAAGTCTGTGAAAGCAATAGGTATTGTAGATTGTCAAGACCTCTCAGATGTGTCTGCTGCTGTTTGATATCTGAATAGGCCTAGAATTGTCCTCACAGAAACCACCTACTATGTATGCAGAAGAAAGTCTGAAAAATGAACATTTCAGATCTGTAAATGTATTTGCAGTAGATATGAAGGACTTAAGATTTTTTTTGTAAATTGTCCCTCCATATGTACTTATACAGTCCTCCATTCCTATGTTAGTGTTGAAAGTGTCACACAGACTAGGTAGTATGACATGCATTATGAGATGTAGAAAGATAAAGGGAGAAAATGTATTTTAAAGCTTTTTTTGACTACAGCTATCTCATATACATTAATATTAATAACATTTAGGTTTCTGTTTGTGTTTTGTTCCACAGGCAGCAGGAGCAATTCGTCCTCTAGTTTCTACTGTTGTTGCCTCTGCTGCAGATGGCTGTTTAGACCACTCATTAGAACGTGCCAGGTACAGAGCGAGTGAAATGCCTCAAGCTTTCTTGTTTGATGTAATCTATGAAGCATATCAACAGGTAAGATATTAGGACTTTCTAAGACTTTTTTCAATTTAATTCAGTTAAAAAGAAAGATAACTTTATTTCTCTTTTTTCAAAAACAGAGCTTCAGCATCTATTTCAGATCACATCAAACTATGCATATTGCTTCTCAGTCTTTTGAAAAAGCCTTATCATTCTAATCTATTGAAGTTTTTTTCATATCAAACTGCAAATACAAGAGGGGTTGATGGATCTAAACAGTTGGAAAGACATATTTGCCATAATTTTTATTGTGCATTAAGTAGATTACTTAAAGGAGTGGGTTAATGTGTTTAAAATTATGTATATATTAAGTATGTATTGTTTACTGAGAGTATCAAAGAGTTTTGGATGCACAATGTAATAATGACATATAATAATTTAATGGGATACAGACTGTTCTAAAATATTGGGATAATATTAATTTGCTATATCTAGGTAAATGTTTAATTTGTTTCTTGTTGCATGTGTATTCTACATAGTCTGATTAGTGGTTGAAAATAATGTTTACATAGTCTCTGTTGCAATTCTCCATTTTTTTCCTAATATATTGCTTTAATTGCTTTAATTCCTTTATTTAGGAAAATAAAAATTGTAGGTGGTGTATTAAACCTGACTCTTTTCCCTTTTTCTGCCCTGAAGACTGCTTTCATTTGCCGCACCCTACATTCATGTTTTGCTGGAAGCACTCCAGCCTTTCGTCTTAGCATTCTACTTCCTTTTCATTCATCACCTTGTGGAAATTGCTTGTCCTCCAGGTATCTTCCAGCCTGACTGGAAGCAGAGCATTTCTTCATTTGTCACTTGGAAGGAATTATTTTTCACATTAGTGCTGGCAGTCATGCTTCCCATCAGTCTTTCATTTCTAAACAAGTCCATATTTCTTATATTCACTTTCAGAGAGTACAAAGCTTAGAAGTCACCAACAACAGAACAAATGTGAGGACAGGCAATGAAGAAGAAATTGTTACTTAATTGTTCAGTAATTGTTTTACTTGGAAATGTTGGCACAAACTCCATGTCATACCCTTTATGCTTGGTACTGGAAGCTATTAGATGCTGTAGATGAAGGACCAAATTAGGAGCTACTCAAGCACTTGGACTGGCTCCAACGTTTTTACCTCTGATAGGAAGCAGGGGGATGTTCTTGGTGTATATCATGACACACAGCTAATACTTCTGGAGACTCCACCTTGAATGTAGTGGGTATACTCATGATAAAGGCAGCCTAGATGTGCACAGAACACATCTCAAGAGAAAACAGCTACCATTGGTAGCTGTTTCTTTCTTGTTGATGTATATCTCTTTTGGCAAATTGTGTGTTTATATGCTGTTTCTCAAAACACCCCACCCAAACAACCCCCCATTTTTTTACTGTGTTTGTTCATAATTTTCAGATACAGTAGAGCTGGCAAATACATAAAAAGCTCTTGCCCTAAATGCCTCACTGAAAAGACAACTATATTTGCAGTCCCCATGCTCCTCTAAGTAGTGTTCTTTTCTCACAGATGCATTCCAGCAGCCTTCTTTTTTGTATCCCTGCTCTTTAAAGAACAAGCCACCAAAGTTGTTAGAAGCAACCAAAGCTATGGTTCCTTGTCCCTAGTTCCCTTTGTTTTGGCTAAATTCTGGTCATTTAAATGCTCTGTGCCTTGGAGCCCTGGGAAGTATAACACTTCACTAAAACCTCTCAACTCATATTGTTTTTTAATTATTTATGTTTCAATGGTGTCTAGCTGTCCAAGTCAAGGATTAAGACCCTATTGTTCTGAGAACTGTACAAACAAATAAAAAAAGATAGATAATTGCTGTCCTGAAAAACAGTCAAGCTACTGTAGGACGAATTTTTGTAGGAATGGATGCAGCTTATGATGCTTCCTAAATATTAACATATTCATAATTAATTCCCACAACAACCTGGTGAAGGCAAGTGTTATTGTACAGATGAACAAAAAAGAGAAAATAATTTTGTTACTAATGTTGCAAGTCATTCACAAAGCTGGGAATGGCATTCATTTTGACTGACTTGGCATGAGATCATGATTCCACTCCTGTGTATTTTATACAGTTGTGACCTTTTTGCAACAACAGTATAGGGAAAAACAACAGTCAAACACGTACTCCTTAGAGAGAAACTGTCCATTTGAATTATTGCTTCAGGTAACATAGGCTTTTCAGTTACAGTGCGGGTAATGCGGAATACTGCTTTTAAACTCCATCTCTGTTTAAATACATCATCTGATGTGAGTAGGTAAGTTTACAGTGTTTACTTCCAGAAGTGTTCTCTTTCATGAACATAAGATCACTGAGTATATTGACCACAAAGTTGCAAAATTCAGTTAAAGGTCAGTTCTCTGATCCTTACAGGTTTGCCATCTGTTTTGTCTCTTCTTGTCTGGTACCAATCTGGGCAGACCAGACTAGAGCCGCTTCTCCTTTTGTTGCTGTTTTAAATTTATTTAGAACTAGAAATTTAGCGCTATTAAAATATGAAAAAATGCTTTTGTATGATCTTTACCAAATTAAGTCATTTCCTTAGAAAACATTTTCCATTTCTTGCTCAAATGAAAAAAAAAAGATAGTAATGATTTGGGGAAGAATACATACCCTTTTGAATCTACTTCAAATAATTTTATGTACAAATACTGAAGACTGGTTTACAATATTATCTTGAAATATATGTGTGTTACAGTAAATCCCCTTTACATTTGGCACCAAAAATCCAGCATGGATTTTGAAGACATTCAGCCAGGTTGCTCACATGCATTTCGTTGTGATGCATTTCATTTTCGTGTGCTGGATCTCAATTTACTTTTCACTCTCATGTCTTTATTGGCTACAACATACATATTCTAAACAGACCTTTTTCAGATATATGTTACTTTCTGATTTAACTGCAATGATGTCAAGATTTCTGGCATCATAACTATTAACTTCTCATCTTTATAGTAGTGCTGTTGAAACCTTTTAAATTTTGTTGCTCAAATATCGCATGCATTCTGTTGTCTTTGTAATGGCTTTGAGAGATCATTAAAAAAAACATTCTTCATCGCTTTTTGGTGAGGTTCTGGATATTGTTAGGTTTTCTGATGGTTAATTTTGAATATTTTTTTAACCATACTGAAACCATAGTATAGTTTTATGAAAATATTTCCTTAAAATAGTCTTAGGCTTTTTCAGTTAGTATGAGTTTTAACATCAGTGGTAAAAGCAACCTTTTTTTTTATAATGTCTGCATATATGCTAGCGAGGAAAAAAAAAGATATTCAGATGTCCTATATTTTCACTTTTTTATTTGGGGAATGCAAGCAACTTGAGAAGCATTATTGTTTCATGGTGAAAGGCCTTTTTTGATGAGGCAGGTAAATGGAGGTGCAACGGGGAAGGGAAAACTCTTTTGTGTTCTTTTACCTCCATTGAAAATTGCTCCAATGCAACAGGATCAGAAGACCAGTTTAGGAAATATCTACTCCTTCTGCTCCAGAGCAATGATATTTATTTTAACATTTTATAAGGTTTCTGCCACTTTTAACTCAGGATATGTCTTGTCTGCTGTACTGGACGTCACATAAGACAGACTAAAAATGTTTAAAGTCCATATTGAAATTAAGCAGCTGTTCAGAGCCCACAACAGCCAGTGGGGCTAAAATAATATCTTGATCTTAAAAGGCCTCACTAATCTGACTTACGTGTCATTAGATAGAGTACTTGGCTGTAATAAATTATCAGGCATAGTCTGATTTTGGCAGATACAGGCACCTGATTGTATGTGATGCTGTTTAACAATTTTTATTGCAAATCTCTGTGTTCAGCTTAGGAAATACAGCAGTGCTTTCATGCCCTTCAATTTGTAAAATTTATAAAATTTATGAAAGTTACAGCTTTTATTTGTATGATGCATATGTGACCCAAGATGGAAAAGTGACAGATGCAAACAGGTGCAAGGGGAGAAAGAACTGTACTTATACTGTGTGTGATGTCTCGCAAGCAGGAGGCTTTACCTTAGCCAGGGGTTTTCCTTGGGATTTTGAGTAGAAGGATATAGAAATTTGTTAAGCAGATAAATGTACTGTTGCATCCGTACTCTTAGTTTTGGTATGTCCTAATTTGTGAGTTCTCATTTCCTGCACAACGTAATGATCCGCAGTAGTGGATATTAGTAGTGGACAAGTTAAATTTTTTAAAATAAAAAATCCAAACCTCTAGTAATTAGTAACACCTGTGAAAAAGTTATAAAAAATGGCAGAACCCATGATTTACTTCAATTCTTATATACCTGGAACAAAATCAGCCAGCTGGATGTTTTCTTATTATTTTTATTTTATTATGTTAATAATTAAGTTCCTGATTTTTTAAAATACATGTTTCTTTTCTATTCTTATCAACCCTAAGGGAAATCAGAAAAGTTAAAAGTGTTAATTGAAAATCCACCTCTTCCAAAGATAGTAAATAGGGGATAGACTCCTTAGACCAGACTTGTTCATTTTTGCTTAAAATAGTTTCGTGTTTCTGTTTGGCTTTTTAATTTAAATAGGAACAAATGTGAAGTATGATCCTACACGGGTGGGGAAGACTTCACTTACCAGAAGTCAAGTGTTCCCTGGAGCAGTGTGTTTTTAAGGAATTAGAGTATCAGGAAGTCAGGTAGACTACTTTTTTCCTTTAATCAAAGTAGGCTGAGACTGATTTCTGTAATACTTGTTTCTGACATATTGTGAAATGCACAGAGATCTCAGAGATCTTTTTTCTTTAACACAGAGCATCTTGTTGTGTCATGTCACATTACCATACAAAGTAACACAACCACAATATATAAAGGCTGAAATAACCAGACTTAACAAAGCACTGAGCATTTGAATGGTATCTGCTAAAGCAAGGAGTGTAGTAGAAACATCTAAAAAGCTTTACCTTTCACGATTTGGCAGAGAAACAACTGAAAATGGAAGCAGGAGAGGAGTGATATGTAGAAGATTCTGAACAGCTTCTATGTCAGAGAT